TGTGTGTGTGTGTGTGTGTGTGTGTGTGTGTGTGTGTGTGTGTGTGTGTGTGTGTGTGTGTGGTTCACGCTGAAGACCGAGGCACACAAATAGGAAGGACGTTAGAAAATAATCACTTGAGACGGTGAAGAAGTGAAGAGTCAGAGAGCGCGATGAAGATCAGCCGAAGAACCAGAAAACACGAACAGCAGCAGCAGAGGAAGAAGAACATGTGAGAAAGGGAAATAAGCACCGGGGACTGGTAAAGAGAAAAACCTCAGAGCGTTTACATTGTATTTGTCTCTTCATCTCATCTTTACTTCGTTCTTTCTCTTTCTGACTCACTCAGTGTCCTATTTACAGCAGAGTGTGGTTTCAACAGAGAAAGAAAGAAAAAAACAAAGAGGGACTAAAGATCTTTTTGGTAACAGATTTGAAGTAGAAAGACTCGTTTTGAATTTTGAAAACTTGAAGTTTTGTTTTTGAGCAGAAAAATATTGTTGGGCTGTAAAAAAAAAGTGAAGCTCTTGTTGAAGGAACACATTTTCTTTAGGCTTTGCTTTATCGAATCTCAGAGCCAAGGGCGTTACTTTGGGTCTACCACTGGAGGGTTATGCTCTAAAACCCTGCATGTCATTTTCAGCATTTATGCTTAAACGTACATATCGCATATCGTCTCTCCTACATTGTAACTTTTTAAATCAGGTCAAAGTTACCTAAAGACAACAAGACTCTATCCGTCTGCTTAACCAGTTAATTTGTATTGTGTTTGAGCAAATGATGTAATTTTATTTGGGGTGGGGGTTATATTGATAGGAACAAATTATTGCAATAAATGGAGACAATCCTTCAAAAATCTTTTGTGAATATATTTAGATGAGTAGAATGGGGGTCTGTTTGTTGTCTTTTTGTGCGTCAACTTTGATACAATTGATACAACTGAGTCRGACCGAACTGTGTAAAATTACAAGTAATTTTTTGTCTTATAATTATAAAATATTTCACAGCCATTTAAAGTTAGTCATAACTCATTGTTTTTGACTTCCTTAATGGTCCGATGGTCGGACAGCATAGATCGAAACTGGGGTCTCTAATCGTTTTGCAAATCAGCGCTTTTGATCAGAATGATTCAGAAGCGACTTTGCTTTTACACAGATGATACTGATAAACTTCTCTGCTCCAACGCAGATCAAACTCTCTGTTAGCTGCAGAGAGCTGTCTGTGTTTACGTGAATTAAAATTTCTCCTGAACATGGACAAAATGTATTTACGATACTCATAAAATGTTTATTCTAGTACTACAGTTACTAGCATCTCTTGTACAGTTGGGCTAAAATAAAATCTTTTGGCTGTTACCACTTTTACGATGGAGCTTTGCATTATTGACACAATCAGACACAAATTTCATATTTGCTTYAGTTGAAATGGAATTTATCGTTACTATTATTATTTTTGGTTGTACTCATTTCTCATCCTTCAGTTTCATTTTATGTGTGAAAAAATACCATAAATGTCATTTACCGGTTAGTTTTATTCAGATTTTTTCTGTACTAAAGTGGGTAAAAAGTTTATTAAAAGCAATAAATTTAAAAATAAAGTGAATTCATAAGCATCAACCCAATTATTTAACTTAGTTCACTCACATTATAGTATGAGTATTAACTGTAMCCTTACAAATATTTATGTTACAACAGAAATAACAAGGGTCCGAGTATTGAACCCTGGAGAATCCCGCAAAAAAAATCTTTTCGCAAAACTGTGAATCTATTTGTTTTATTTGAATCTTCTTCCTCCTTCGGCTGATTGCTTTAGCGGTTTTCACAATGGACTATCTGCCACTATCGTACCTGATGTCACCCTTTTGACGCTTGTCTGTAACCACTCCTGCTTGTTCTCTTTTCATTACCTCTCTTGATGGTTGAGAGTCGGTACATAAAGTCCTCCACCTTCAAGCTTCACTGATCCACCGGCCTTACTCTCAATCAAATAAAGATTCTGCTCCGCTCTCCAAAGGTCATACCTCTACTTCTTTGGGCTCTCTTCCACATGCTCCCTGCTCGCTACAGAATACAGTATCGTCTGCATATATCAGTAYCTTGTGGCTGTTTGTTTATTTTAGCACAAATATTTCAATTGAATTGTTGTAATTCTGTTTTAAAAGTACTTCCTAAAATGTTTTCTTCTTGTCTCCATCCTCTGTAGGCCCTCTAGCACAACCAGGCACACTATCATGGAGGATCGGTCGTCGCCATCGACCTTCTCCAACCTCCAGCACCATCGTCACCGTCCAGCCTTTCCTCTCGCCGTGCACAGCTTTCAAAGTTCCGAAGCAGGATACCCGACCTCGCAGTCCGCCCAGGATTCCCTGGAACAGTACGGAAGCAGGGAGGAAGAATCCGCTGCCTCGTTTCTGACGTCCAACTCCTCCTCGGGGCCGAGAAAAGGGAGCGGCGGTAGCGACCGAGCCTTCCTGACCATGGGCGCGAACAGCTTAGACGAAGATACTAGTTTAGGAGGACACTCTAGCGGAGACGGCAGACTGGGTGGCCACTTTGACGACCTTTGGTACGGCAGGAAGGGGATTTGGGACGACAACGAGGGCGGCGAAAACACAGCGGATGATATTCACAGCAAAGGGAGTTGCTACGGCAATACGAACGATGTTTTCTGCACGATGAACTGCACCTCGGAGGACRGGGAAAGGTGGAGGATCAGATCAAACTTTAACAGTTACGTTAGCTGCGAGGCTAAAAGGGATTACAACAAGGAGGCCAACGCGAACCACTTCGCCAAACAAACGGCGTCCTACGCCAGAGCAGGAAGCTTTAATGAAAGGGGAGACTCCATGATGAGCGACCACTATTTAGGAGGAGAGGAGGATTATGGGTCCAGCTGTGGTTCGGGTGAGGATCAGCTTCAACCAGCAGAAACTGAGGGTTCGTGGCTCAGCGTCTCTCCTACAGGAGAGGCCGAGGTCAGAGGTCTGACAGCAGGGAGGTGGAAGGGAACCGCCAACGCCCACAGTTTGACCTCAAGCTGTGGACTGCAGAGATCACCTGTAGGCATCACCAGCAGGACGTACACTCAGAAACTGGACTCGTTCTCTGACGCGTTCCTGTCCCAGAGGAAGATAAGACTTCAGGCGATGCCCGGCGAAAATTCCCCAGCGCAGATCTGGGAAAACGGAGGAGAAAGCGGCGGATGGATGAAGTCCAGGCAGAGCTGTGCCTTCGATTCTGACTCCCACYTGCCTCCCTCCTCCTCGTCCTCTTGTTCCCCCGCCTGCCCGTCTCTTCCGTCCTTCCCGTCCCCTCCGGCGTCGTCTCACCTCATGTCTTCGGTTCTCAGTCCCCCTCCCACGCCTTTACCTCCTCCTTCACATTCACCCTCCAAAACAGACTCTCCCGGCTCACAGGGGGCCGCCAGACCCTCGGCCACCCAGGGAGGGGAGTCGCTTCAGTTTTTCTCGTCCCGCCTCCACCCGTCTGGAATGATCTGGAAGTTCCCCCTGCTGTCTCACTGTTTCCCGCAGCTGTCGGTCGACCTCAGCGACCCCGAAAGCAACAACAGGTCCTACCAAGGCGACGACTCTGGCAGCTCGACAGGTACGAGACACGGTTTGGGGATGAAATGTAACAAACGTAACAAGAATTTATCASCTGCCATCACGACGAGTAGGCAATCCAACAAATCTTGTGATTTTTACTACCTTAATCGACCCACCACCACTTTAATGCCCACATGTAAATTTACGGGACGTGTGGGTTTTTATAGGTGTGCTCGTCAGGTTTCTCTCCTCCTACACGCAAAGTTTCATTTGTCACGTTTTTACAAGGTAAAACCTTCAGATTTTTGTCGTGTTTGGTTTTACGTCATCTGAAAGTTGACTCTTGTATATTTAATTCACAAGAACTGGGCGAAGCTTTAGGTCTACCATTAGGAGAGTTTATGCTCTCTACCTACCTATTTATTTATTTATTTAATGCATCATTTACTTTTGTAAAATTATTCAGGATATTTTAGGGTGAAAACACACTGTGGTTTATTTAACTTTCCTGTCTTCTTATTTACCCTGCATCTTTTCTGTTCCACATCAGTTCAACAATTAAGAAAAGTCTTATAAACCCCCCTCTCTCACACACACACCTAATTTTTTCAAAGGGTAACAAATATTTTTAATTTTTAGGATGTATTATCCGACATACCTAAGTTTCTCAATTTTCCAAAATTGTTTTAAAAAAATTAATGAGATGAACAGACTAAAGCCTTGCACGTCATTTTTCATCAGTTATGTTTATATATTTTCTTTATTTTCACAACAAAACATAGAAAGAAAAAAACAATAATTAGGCTATGTTTCACAAAACAGATGGGATGAAGAATTGCCGAAAAACCTTCAAGGGGCTTAATAAGTGGCCTTTATAAAATCAATTATATTTAACAATTTAAAACCATTTATGTATTATTATGTAGAAAAGTACATTTCATTATAAAAACACGTAAAACTGCATTTAAAACACAAACTTAAGAGCGATATTTTGACTCTTTGTTTAAACTGTTCTTCAGAAACCTCTATGAGGGATGTGGGAAGACTGTTCCATATCTATGACCCGAGTTGTGACTCAACTACTGCGAGTCAAATACTGGTGAAATTCATTAAAAGTAAAAATATTACAAAAGTGCTAAAATCAGGTCAAAGTTTCCTAAAGACAACAAAAGAGTTGCAACTGTGTACTTAACCAGTTCATTCTGTTGTGTTAGAGCAAATAATATAATTTTATTAGGGGGGTTAAACTGATAGGATCTAATTATTGTGAGGGTCATAGCCCCCCTTTCAAATTACGCTCATGGTTGCACAGTTCATAGAGATGTTAATGATTATTATTTATATCCTCTTCAGCTCCTCTCAACGTTCTTCCGGAGTCTTCGTCCTCCCGAGCTCCGTGCTCCTCTTCRTCCCTTCACGGCCCCTTTCAGCTTCCCTTCCGTTCCTCCCACCCCTCCGGCAAACATCCCGAGGCCACGGAGAAACTTCACAAAGTTGCCCAGAAAGTGAAGATCGAAGCCGTCGACTCGAACCAGCCACGTCTACAGGTACGGTGTTTTTATTTTATTTCTTATCACAGTTTGAAACATGTGTTGAGAAATGTCACAGTTTRACTTTTGCAGCTGTGACAGGAGAAGGTGTGCCGACGCAGTGGGCGGATGTTTGTCGAGAAACTATGTTAGCTCCATGTATGTGTCAGCGACTAAAAACCACAGTTTTAATCTGGGTTGTATTTTTAGACACGCAGAGCAGATAAAGTACGTAAATAAGGCAGATGTGGAGCTGGTTTGTTTTTCAGCTTGGATTTAGGGGGTTGTGTAGGACCCTCACAACACTGGTTCCTTTATAAGGAAGTGTTTCCTGTCAGATACTAAATACTGTTCCCAGTCATTTTTTTTGGACTTTGTAGGGAATCTTACAAAATGTAATTTGATGCGTTTTTTGTGTTTCTTGAAAAACTTGGGGAAATAATGACTTAGACAATAATCTTAGGTAGGTATCAAAGTTATCTGTTGGTCTGTGGTCATCATTTTGTCATTTATATCTCTCTGAACGGAAGGCAATAATTGGGTTTGCTTGTGCTTGTTTGTCTGCACTGTTAGCAAAATATCTCATGAAGTTCCTGTACATCAAACTCAGTGACACAAAAGGGGCCAAAATTCAAAACTTGGTCCGAGCCAAGGGCCAATTTTTGTGAATATTTACTGACGAAATGTGAAATAACAAATAATTCTAGAAATATGAACATTGGGCCTCATGCAAGAACCGTTCGTACGCACAGATTTGTTCTTAAGTTGTGCGTACGAGTGATTTAGGAGAATTTGTGGCATTCACCAATGT